GGGGTCAGGGGTTTGGGGTTTTTGGGGTCTAGGCGTTTTGGGTTTTTGGGCTTTAGGGGTTGATGGGGTTTAGGGGGTTTAAGTAGGCTTTAAGGGTTTGTGGGTCAGGGCTTATAGTGCCTATTGAAGCACACACCCACTGATCAATTCACAGACCTTCATGTGTCTTCATGGTTGTTCATGTTCTTCACGCATGAACAACCATTAACAAGCCATGAAGTTCTGTGAATTGGTCAATTTGTGTGCTTCAATAATCACTAAGCCCTAATCCTTAAACCCTTGAGATCGGAGACCCCCCTAAAGCCGTAAAGCCCGAAACCCGAAAACCCCGAAACGCCAAAGTGCCTAAACCCCTAAGCGCCGAAATCCCGACGAAACACAAAAACCCAATGCCCTTAAAGCCTTAAACGCTGTAGGTTCTAGGTTTTAAATTTACACAAATCAACTGTTCCTTCTCGATGTATCAAGACACTAAAACCCCAATCCCCTAGACGAAACAATAGTCACCAACCGATTTAACAGACCTAAATACGTTCATTAGGGGTTTAGGGCTTTAATTGTTTAGGGTTTTAGGGGTTTAGGGGGCGTTTAAGGGTTCAGGGCTTTAGGGCTTTAGGGCTTTCAGCACTCACTCTCGGACATGCCTAGGCGAGGTTCCGGGCTTTAGGGTTAGGGGTGTAGAGGTATAGGGCTTTAGGGAGTTGTGTTGAAGGGTTTGAGGGTTTAAGGGGCTAGAGAATTAGGATTTAGGGGTCTAGGGGTCTAGGGTCAACAAGTTGGGGCCTCCGAAGTGTTGCTTGAAGCTCGTCGTCAAAATCAACTTTTTCATAAAATCCATAGATTTTTGTGTTTACAAAACCAATGAAACAGTCGAGAAAAAGCATTAGTTGAAATCAATAGGTTTCAATACGTAAAATCAATAGCTGCCTATAGCAAGAAATGGACGAATCGCTGAACATTTCCTCAAAATTGATAGACAAACTGGTGTGGGTTTTCTTTGTAGGCCGAAATAAAAAATCAAGCGTGTGTCCTCTGGGGAAGGCCCGGAAGCCCAGGTCGATGGACTGGCGTGGCATACCAACACCCAGAAGCCATTGCCCGCGCACCGGTTTTTCGGTCTGGCTTCGCTTATTTTTGCGCTGAAAAACGCACTCTCTGATGCGCAAGAGACCCCATGAACAACTCAATGTTCCGAGCTCGCGTTTGCAAGGTTAGACATGATCCTTAATTAATGTTTTTGTATACGGGAAATCTCTCAATGGCCCTAATATTCTTTGTGCTTTGGATGAGATAACCTGCGATGGTGAGTTCCTGTTTTTAACAACCCAATTTGAACAAATTAAGCCCACAGAAACGATTTACACCTGCCATTTCGAAAAAACAGCTTTCACAAGGAGCTCGCGAAATTTAACAGGGCTAAGTGTTGCACGGGCGAAGTGTTTTAGATTAGTTTTCATGGGAGCTTTCGAGTTAACTGCTTTTGGTTAGGGGGCATTCGGGCTAACTGCTTGAGATTAGGTTTCCAGGGGGGCTTTCGGTGTGTAAGGTTCGAGTGTTAATTTTAAGAAGCTGTTGTTTCGGTTTATAGTTGGTAGACTGTCGAAGACTAAACAAGCATAGATCTTTAGGGGGGTAGCATACATATATACACACACATCTGCAAATATATGTTTGTCTTTGTCCGGCGTTCCGCTTTCCCAATCCCGCCCCAATAGTATCCCCCCCCCCCGCCCCCCAGTGCTAGCCCTGACGCGTGCCAGCATGCGCGCGCCCCTTCCCTCCGTGTAAGCCCTCCTGGCTTCCCGCTTTTAGACTCCGTATCGCTTCATAGGGCGGAGGTCAGGGCCTTCCCGAAAAGGGAGGCTCCTGAGGATGTGGACATGCTGTGGTTGGGGATGTGGCGTTGGTGGTATCGTCACCGCCCCGAGGGTGTCGGGAGGCGGGGCACCACAGCGCGGGGGAAGGGGGATGGGCAAAATAGGAGCCGTGACCGTACGAATGCATATGGATGCATGCATGTATTCATTTATGTATTTGCATGTGTAGGTATTGCGTACATACATACATACATACATACATACATACATACATGAATGTTATACCTTTGTAACCTAGGCTCTCACAGACCTGATCTGAGTCAGACGTTGTCGAAATTTGAGTGCAATGAGACTCAGTCTTCCACTGCTAGAAGGAGCACGTTTACATTCGTTGGGGTCGGTCTGGATATCGCTGGAGGTTTCTGGGCAAAGGACGCCAGGGGTCGTGTGGTGACTGCGATCTGCTCCTTCACCGCATCCACGTTGGCCACCTGAAGGTGAGGTCCACCTACATCGTTACGATAGTGACTGTGAACCACAATTTAAGGAAAGCCCACCTTCACATTGATCTTGTCGCCTTCCTGCATCCGAAGAGACTGCTTCGATTGGGGCAAGACCCGAAGATTTCAGGATGTCGAGTGGCCCGAGAGGCTTTTGAGGCCTGGATTCCTGAATGCCGCTGGAGAGGAGTTGGAGCTGTGATCTTCATCCGAACGCTGCCAAAATGGCTTCGCTGGCGTGCCACAGCCCGCCTTGTATTCCTCAATCGGCTTGTCCAGCTGAGATGGCGTGCAAAGAGCGTCAATGCCGATGCCGATGTTGATGAACAGACCGTACCTGCTGATGGAACGATCTCACAGAGAGAGGCTCGAAAGTCGGACAATTGGGCTTCGAAAGTGGTGAAATTCCAGACGGGGCACTCCGGGTTGACTCGGGCGATGGTGCCTCGCAGCTGGGTACAGATGGGTGCCGAGCGAGGGTAGGCATAAATGTTCTTGGTACCGCTTTTGGAACAATTTTTACACTCCAAACGTCTCTGGTATGAAGTACCCGGGAGCCCGATCAAGGGACACAAAGACGTCTCTGGGCAGAGAGGCTGCGACCAAGGTCATGTTTGGTGATTATCTATGAACTGGTTACAGCACACTGCATGTCACATGTAGTGGCATCAACGTAAGCATGTATGCATGTAAACAGGCAATGCCACATGCATACATGAACATGCACCGCACTCATACACACATAGATGCATACATGCATAACTGCATGGCACAAAGTTCATGCATACATACATACATACATACATACATACATACATACATACATACATACATATATATATATATATATGTATATATACATATAAACACATGACATACGTACATACATACGTACATACGTACTTACATACACCGTCCGCTCCTTCCCTCCCTCCCTACCTCCCTCCCTCCCTCCCTCCCTCCGTCCATCCGTCCATGCATCCATGCATCCATTCTATCCATCATGCGCGCATGCGTGCTGGCAAACACAGATGCGTGGATTGTTGGTCGCGCACACACACACACACCCATGCACGCACCTTATAATCGTCACGATCATGATCGCCATCATCATCACCGCCATCATGTTCACTCACCGTCATCATCACAGGAATTCTGATCACCATCATCATCTGCCCCTTTCTGCCTATCGATACCCAGCTGGTCGACGCGAACACAGAGCTTCTGACGAATTCATGTGACAAGCTGTAGATCTTGGAGATTGCTGCTCCTGCCTTCGATGTCCTGCCCTAGCTTGAGCTGCGCAAGGGCCTGGAGCTCGGAAAAGGTCGCATGTCTGGTCACTGCTCTTTGTTTGGCCTTGGATGTGGCAGCGGACTGCTCGGCGGCAGCGGCGGCCACGCCCACGATGCCGACGGTGATCTCAGAAGTCCGAGGAATCTGTGGAGCCACAGAAGCATCCAAAAAGCAAAAGGCAAGCGCCTTGTCACCCTCGATGGAGAGAACCTCCAGCTCGGCTTCCTGGTGATTTTTGAAGTTTTTTTACACGGCCAGTGCGCTGTCGCTCTCGGTCCTCCCCCACGGCATACTGATCCGGCCGTTTGCTCAGGCTTCTTGCCGGAGCCAGTGCATCCCTGCAATGGAATCACGGATTAAACGGCATTGACTTCACGGATTCTTGTTCGCGCGTCTGGATGCCAGGTCTGTTTACATCATTCGCACGGAACGTGGGATGACCATTTCTGCTAGTGGCAGTCCCATCTCTGAGAAACTCTCCTCATTCCGCCAATGTCAAAGAAGACACCATAGTTCTGCGTGGTGGAGACTTTCCCCGTGACCTGACATGTGGGGGAACGAGAAAGAGATCCCTCACACCTACCAGGCGCCTTTTGACCTTCGGAGAAGGAGGTTGGCAGCTCGCCCAACGTCACCCTGAAACATTGCCAAGAATTGCAGCATGAAGTGCGCGAGACGGACCTGGATTCTGTCTTGACCAGAGCTCTAAAACCCTGCTCTACTCGGATCGTTTCGCCTGATCTTCCGAGTCGCAGGGGTGTCTCCTGTCTCGACCTCGCAAATGATGGATGTGCAAGATGTTCGCTTGCAGACCTCAACTTCAACAGTCTCTCTGCCCAGATAGCCTGCCAGATCTTCAAGCCCGGTATCACGTCACCGGTTTCGTACTGCTGACCCTGACATGTCCGGTTCTTCACAGGCGGCTGGGACTCGGGAGCCATTGGGAGTGTCCTCCTCTTTAGGGCTTAGGGCCTTCGGATGCGTTAGGGCTATAGATGGCTATAGGGTCTTAGGGAAACTTTAGGGTTGTAGGGCTAATGGTTGCGGGTTTCAAACCATCCTGACCTCCCACCTTGTCGCAAGGTCAAACCTCTACGGAAGACGTCGAACATTTGCCGGCGAGTGAGGTGCGACGCTCCTACTGAAGACTCCTACCTCCTGCTAAATCCTGATCACAGCCACGCCTTAAGCAGCGCACAAAGTCTACAAACAGAATCCATCAAGATGGAGATCTGTCGCAAGTCTTGGAGCCCTGTCCGAGCACCGGCCTTCGGAACCATGTTCCGAGGAAGAAGGGCGGGCTGGCAAGAAGGATTTGCTTCACAGCTATTGCAGTCTCGGTAGCTAGCGAGGCGCTGGGCAACAGGCAACGCAGCACGCAGTTACTCGAAGTAAGTGACACGCTTCCCCCACAGCCGGAGGCCAATCTCGGCCTTTTCAGCACCGATGTCCACGTAGACACCGATTTTTGCATCGCGGGTAACGGTGCCCGAGACCCTCAGTAGGGAAGATGATTAAGAGCCTGAAGAGCTTCAGTGCTTCAAAAAAGCGTGCGTGATTCGGGGAGGATGTCCTGTGCAAGTCTGACCGCAGGCAGCTTCCTGAGACCCCAGCTCCTCGCCAACTTTCAAATCCTCTAGCCTCCTTCCCTCGCCTTCTGCCTGCAGCTCAAATTTTGGGGCCCGTCAGCCATCGTAACGACTGAACTGGTCTGCAGGACTTTGCTGTCGCAGATGAGTTGGATGACTCAGAGATTGGAGCCCACGCAGAACATAATCTTGCCTTCACTATCGTGCGCACAGGGCTGCGAGTCGCATCTTTCCTGCACGTGTCTGGCACACCAAGGCATAGCAGCGCGAGGAACATGGATGTGCAGCATGTGCATCTGATCAGCAGCTTCAGTCTCTCGCTGTATTGGCTCCATATACCTCCACATCGCAAAGCAGCCAGCCTCCTGACATTGTGGGCTGCCTTCAGCAGCAGCAGGGCAGCGGCAGAGGCACCCAAGGCGGCGCTTCCTCCTTCCGAGCTGGCTGAGCGGATGCACCGAGCATGATCGGAGCCTTTCACTACAAACACAGCTCGGCCCACCGCAGGCATGGCCTCCAACAGCGGAGGTCGGGACCCGATCGGAGCTCTGGGCACCCCGCAGGGCGAGCCGGCCTGCAAACGCCAAAGCCCTATGGCCGACCCCAACGGCTAGAAGTGGCAGTGCGCAGCCTGCGCCTGTCGCTGGCGCAGCTGTCGGACTCACGAAGGCATCCCCGGGCAGGACCTACGAGTGCACGTGCGCCGCGAGAAAGTCGACCCACATCGGCAAGCTGCGGGAAAACCAGAGCGAGATCTATCCGAGGGCTCCACCGTAGTGTAGTACACACAGGCAAGGCTCAGGGAGATCAGCAGCACACCTGAAGCATCATCAGCATCGTCATAAAGCGCTCCAGTCTGTCTTGTGCCTTCTCTCTTTATTTCATTGTTTCGTTCCTCTTTGCTTTCTTTCCATCTTTTTGTGCTCCTTTCGCTCCGTTACACATGCAGGTCAAACAGCGGAGCCTCCCTCCCCCAGGCCATCTGCGTGCGGCCTAGGCCAGGCCATGCCCTCGGGTTCTGCTCTGGTTTTCTTTCTCCCTGCCTCCCTTCTTCCCTTCTTCCATTCGTTGAGAGTTTAGGGCAAGTTGGGAGTACCACGGAGTAAGCCTGAGCCGTCCTGTCCTCGTAGGCGTTGGACGAAATTGAAACCGCGGATCTCCGGGCCAGTGCTCAACCCCGAAGCAAAATACCTCTAGCTAACTCGTCCAAACGTTTACCCCCACACTTTTCCCGAAATGGCTTCTTCCTCAGCAGCCGTATGACAAGTCGAAGCCCAATCCTTACGACAATGGCTATGTCCCATTTCACCTAGTTATCCGCGGATAACGGCCGTGTGTCGGCTCATGTTTGCTCTCGTGCTCAAAGCGGATCGCACATGTCCTGCTGCCAAAGGCTTCGGACAGGCTCTCAGTCTCACGGCCTTTTGACTCCGTTGACGGAAAGCGTTCTTGACAGCGAGCGGAACGTTGAATTTTGTTCTCGCGAGAGGCGGGGGTGGGGGGATGCAGTCGGGCTTTGCATGGGTGGGGAGGGCAGGGACCCAGCATGAGCATTAGGGACCCAGCATCATGAGCATCGTCTACCTTGCTCTTTCAGTTCTGGCATTAGGACTGGTTGCCGAGAGGCAAGCGGAAGAAGCGGCTTGGCGTATGTTGAGTCCGTGCACAGAAGGCGCGACTCGGACTCCAAGTCAACCAAACAGCGGAAAGAACTTGACCGCGAGCGGAACGTTTGTATTAAATGTCGAGAGGGGCGGTGCCGGGAGCCAGCATCATGAGCATGAGCATGTTGGCATCTTTGGTCACGCAGACTGTCAAAGAAGCCTTGCATGCGTGCTTACCACTCGCTTTCCGTGTGGTCCTGCTGGTCCTCAAATGCGCGTGTTTGGGATTTGCAGGAACAAAGGGGTCAAGCTCTCGCTTCTGTCGGGGCTCTCAGCTGCAGCACGGACGACATGTCACCAAAATAAGCGAACCTTTCAGGCTATCCCTCCCTCCGTCTCCCTCCCTCGATCTCCTGAACCCAAGCCTGTTCCCTCTCAAAAGCCTTCACGGCAGCACCAGAAGGCAGCGCGGCGCGCCAAACCACACGTTCGAAGGCTCTGGCCTGGAGCAGTGAAGCCCTTGGTGGACCGGAAGGATGCCATCGCAGGCGATGGTGGCCTCGAAGAAAGGAAAAGACCCTCTCAGAACTCAGCTGCTCTGCACCACAACTCCCACGGCCTGCCCGCTTGTCCTAAACAGCGGCAGGCTTCGAGCATTAGCATTGAGCCCAGTGCAGGGAACACAAAAACCCACACACACTCACGTGCACGCAAGTCATGGCAGAGCTGGAACACCTCTAGCAACTCTAGCACATGGCAGCTTGACCTCTGCTGGCACTTGTTCGCTTCATCCGGGCACGTAGTGTGCGGGGTCGCTGCGAAGGCTGCATCTCGCGAGGCTGCCACCCGCACGCTTGGGAAAAGACGGGTGACAGCTAGCATCGTTTCCTCGCGAAGCGATGCCACGATGCCTGGAGCTGCTAAACAGTAGGAACGGAAGTTCGGGGCTGCCCTTCCCCGGTGACGGCACGACGCAGATTCCATCTGCATCTCTTATGCCTCGCCGAGCTAGAGCAGTATCCAGGGCCAGCAGGCTCCACCTGCTGCAGCCCTGAATTTCTCCGGAAAGTCAAAGAAATACAGAAACTTAATACGCGACCTCCTGCGTTTCAGGAGCCTTCTCAGCAGTGGACGCTGCAGCGCCGGCTTTTTGAGGGGCCTGCTTGCCAACCATGAAGTAGCACACACCCATGATAGCACCCCACGATTCTTGAATGGGGAGGACGATGATCACGAACGTGGCCACGAAGCTCCAGGCGATACTGATGAACACCCAGAACGCGAAGTAGTCCGTCGTGAAGACCCCGGCAGGCAAAGACAGCAGAGGCCAAATCAGGACCATGAGGATGGTGAAGCCCCAACCCCACTTCTGAATCCACCACTTGGCCGCATCCAGGAAGTCCGAGGTGTAGTCCTCGTCGTCGAGGCCGCTCATGTCCTGCTCGAGCATTTCCTTGGCCGATCAGACCGCTCCAGTCGAAGCCCGGGAAAAAGCCCGACTAGCAATTACTGGTACATTGCTACAGTCATCTACAGCCAACAGTGGCCCATCTGAGGAAGCCTGACACATCAACGCAACTTCAAAGATGGAAATATTCGGAGAAGCCTCGATCTTGCCCATAGATTCGAAATCGTAGTTCTGAGGACTGGCCATGGAGAAGACGAAATGGATCAAGGCCGATGACGCCAAGGCCACGATGTTGCCAGCGAGATTTGGGTTCAGTGTTCCCAGGTTGTCGATGGTGATCTCACCGAACTCGGCCTGGCAGACGATCAGCCAAGTTGCCAGGGCCAGGATCATGCCGCCCCAGGCTGCAGCCACGGCCCCCATCGCATTGGCCTTCTTCCACATGAGCAAGTTCCAGAGAGGCACCACGGCAGAGCCGATAGCATTGCCCATGAACTGGTACACCCAGCCAAGGTTCAGGCCCATGTGATTCAGAGCCACGCCGAGGCCTCCCATGAGGAGACCAAAGACCACAACAACTACCTTGGAGATAAACAATGCCTGCTGGCCAGTGCACTTGGGGTTGATGTAGGTCTTGTAGATGTCGTAGGTGACCAAGGATGACACGGCGATGCCCTCGGCAGAGCCTGTGGAGGTGATGGCCATGAAGAGCATCACCGCCATCATCACTGAGCCGAAGCTGCCGAAGAGGTGCGTGGCGACCGCGGGCGGCACCAGACCCGCGCCGGCTTCGGCGGAGGAGATGGGAAGCTGCAGGGCAACGGCACACAGGCCAAGGGACGTGGCGAGCGCGAAGGGGATCGTGAACCAAACCAATCCACCCAGGAGGTAGCCCTTGTGGGCGCTGGTCGGCTTAGCCGCGATGGCAGATTGCCAGTACGACTGGTCCACGAAGACGGTGCCGAAGTTACCAACGATATTGATGATGCCGAACTTGGTGCCACCACCCGAGAGCATGGTCAGGTAGGATCCGCCCTCGTTCTCTGGGACAGGCCCGCAGGCGTACTTGCCCGCTTCGAAGAAGGTCTGAGTGCCCTGCTTGAAGATCTGCTCGCACTGAGTCGTCGAGTAGCTCGACACCTGCTGCAGGCCAGCGTAGATCACGTCGGAGGAGAAGTTCTTCACGTAGACAGTGTACACGCATACCACCAGAACCAGGAAAATGATGGCGGTATGGAGGTAGGATGCCATGAAAGTGGCCTTTAAGCCGCCTGCCGCCGTGTACAGGATCACACCCCATGGAATCAGGAAGGACGCCAAGTCGGTGTCCACGCCTGTCAGTGCGTTCACGGTGGCAGCACCGCCCAACAGCAGCATGGAGGTCACGATCACATTGGCCAGCAGCGCGAAGAAGAGGAACGTCAAGTGCGCCGCCTTGCCCCACCTGTACCACAAAAACCCTCACCAAAACTCAGTTAATGGGGTCAGAAGTGTTTTTGAAGTTTGGGTTACCGCCACCTTGCAAGGACCATCTCGCAAACGGTGTGGGCCGTCCGTGCGCGGCGCTTGATCTCGATGGCCAGAATGCCGAAAAGCAGGACCTGGATCGTTGCGCCGCTGGCGTACCAGAATGGTCCAGACACTCCATACTGCCACGCCACGTTGGAGGACTGCAGCAGCGTGGCAGCCCAGGTCCACTGAGACACGATCACAGAGGCAGTCAAGCCCGTCTTCACGGAGCGGCCGGCAGTGTTGAAGAACTCAGACGTGTGTTCCGTGCCATTGGCATACTTGTCCAGGTACACCAACACCGTGGTCAGCACGGAGAAGAATGCGCCAAAGCCTAGCACAATGGCATAGCCAGACTCGATGGGCAGCGGCGTGTTGTCCCCGAAGAAGCTGGTTTGGCCGGCATACTGCGCGGTCGATGCCATGGCAACAGCACTCGATGCTTTCTGGCAAAGGCACAGTCAGAAGATTCTAACTGCTGGAGCAATAATTGCTGCAAGTTGCCATGGCAAGTCGAGATCTCCGCAGCCGAAATCCACGCTAACATGCTAGGCTCGGGGTTGCCCTTCTATGCCCTTCTCGTACTGAGACGAAAGGAAGAAACGACATCGGATAAGCGTGACAACAGCGATACACAAGATCTTCGAGCAGACACAATATGCCATGTGCTGCTTGCTTGTGCTGCTTGCTTGTACTCTTTGCCGTGGCTAACCGCAGTGCACCAGGGCATGAGAATTGGGCCGTCTGTCACAGGCTCTGTTCACTTTGACCGAGGGTTGTTGGCGCTGTCACAGCCTCGGTTCCGACGGGATTCATCAGCAAGGGGTCACGGCAGCCGATCGACGATCTGCGCAATACTGGCGAGCCTGGTTAGTTAGCCTGCAATTCCCGCGTGCACGAAGAAATGCAAAATGCTGGCACCCAAAACTTGCATGGGCCTAAGGCGAAATAGATTGTGCCGCTGATGGCATGCACCTCAGTCTCACATGCCACTCTGAGGCAGTCTTTGTGCATCTTGCGACAGATGCTCTTGGGCTTGCAGCTACCACGAAGCTCCGAGGTCAATCCGCTAACACACGACTAAGGCACATCTAGAGAGTATTTTCAGCATGTCCCCACTTTCAGTCGCACGGCCGAGGTCCGGACATGTGCAACATCCGCAGATGTCCACATGCGGTTCATGGATTGGATCTTCCACATCTGCTGCCAAGCCTCCACCTCAACAAAGAGTACATCACCCTCTCCAGTCCAGAGACTGCATGGAACGTTCGGGTGCAGTGCAGCAACTGTAGATCCGCTGCATTCTTCCGAAGGGTATGCGTACCAGTACCAACATATATGATCAAACGATGTGAAGAATCGAAAGTCTGGCACTGCAGAAAAGGGAAGAAATGTGAAGAAAGCCAGCACCGAAACCGTACCTTGCGCCCCGCCTGCGGCTCAGAAGCCACAGGGACCTCCGGCCCACCAATTGCAGCTCCTTCCTGCAGAAAACCGCATGCAACCCAAAAGCAGCTGACATTCCCGGGTTAGGGTGTAGGATTCTGTCGGGAATGACTTGACGTTGCTAGGAGCAGACAAACTAGATCAGCGGATGGCGATAGCAGGGTGACATTACCAAAGCGATCCGTCGACAAAGATGTTAAGACTCGCTGTGAACACTATCAGAAACAATGAGTGCTACAAAAATCTGCTGATTATTGAAGTTATTGAAACCTACAACACGGAGTTGATCAACCCATGCGTCGCAGTCCCTCTGGGCAATTGGCCGGCATCGAAGAGCCCCATGCTCCTCCATCAGCAGATGCTAGCAGCAATTTGCAGCTTGCAACCTATCTTGAAAAGTGTCACACCATCAAACGAGGTGATAAACATACAGCTGAAACAAGAACGACCCGATCCAGAAGCACAATGTCGCAACACTGTGCGTCATCGCAAAGCTGAACTGAGTAGAGCAGGCAGCACCTACAGGATCCGCAAGCGCACATGTAATGCTAACGTTCTAGCTCGGCCAATCTGCGCCTCATCCATTCTCACTACAACAACCCATGTTCTGCGACAATACAAAAACATACTCTGCTTGCATGTGCTCTGCTACCATGTACGCGGTTGTACAATAGCACACCCGCGCACATATAAGCCTCTCCAACTTTACACAACCCTGACACCAACCTTCAACAAGGCTCGTTAACAGATTACAGGTCATGTAAACCTGAAGAGTAGGACTGATCCTCTTTCTAAGGAACACTCTGAATCAAACCCTAAACCCTAAACCCCCATTTCTTTGGCACAACCCGGCCAAAAACTGCTTGCCTGGATCTCTGGCAAGGTCAAGTCTCTGAATATATCCTATATCCTTTTGAATACCCCAGAAGGTTAAACGTGACCTGCTCAACCCGTCAGTCCTCCTTTTTGGCGAAGAGAGAAGACTCGGTCTCTGTGTGTGTGTTGGAACATAACCATATGCAGATGCAACACGTTGCACCCAAAGAACGAAGTAAATGTATTGTTTCAGAAAGAATTGCAAAGGTCCATATTGGAAGACATCGCTGGATATAAACCTTTCCATCCCAGGGGTTGAAACGACGCCTCAAGGATGGAGATCTGCAAATAGCTTTGCGAAGCACTTCCAAAGTGAATGTCAAGTTCTGATTCATGCAACCCTTGCCCAAGAGATCTATATACTTCAAGGCTTTAGGATTCAGGGGGCTGCAGCATTCATATACCGTGTTTGGTTAGCACTTTCACGGCCGTTGGCGTTGTGAACACCGTTGACTCGTATCATCAACACATCATGAATGAGTTGTCACGAGAAGTCACAAGCCCTTTGTATTGTAGTACGAAAATGATGAACTGGCACCTCCTTGTGCATCCTCAGAAATCAGAGGTGTCGTCTTACAAGGAGACCGGAACGACCCCTAGCACTAAACCGTAAACCCCCAAACCCGAAAACGACGCTTACAGTAAGTGAGTCCTTTCTAACTTCAGACCCTTAATGCCAAGCAAATTTTGCCACCTCGAGCATACAAGGCTGCAGTTAGGGGTCGGGTAAGGAACCTAAACCCTCGAACAACCAGCTAGGGATCCACAAGCAAAGCTTCACACTGCAAGTCTCGCTACACTCTCTTTTTCTCATAGTGACTCTGGACTGGGATTCTGTTCAATCTCACCTCCGGATAGAAGGACAGCTAAATCTGCAAGCTACGGCTTGTGTGCGGGTCGCACACATCTGCAAAGCACTGCAAGGGAGCATACACATGCTCAACAAACGTTGTAAGGAGCACTGACGTGCTTCACCAAATGCAACAACTGACTCCACCCCTCTGCCCAGAGTTGGGTGGGCGGGTTCAAAGACTTTCCAAGCTGCTCTGAAGGATGCTTCCTGAAGAGCCATGCTGTTCAGATAGACTTGCACTCCTCTAGCACCGGCTTAGCACTCATTTTCCGTGTTGCATCTGTAAGGCAG